GTTGGCACAGCAGGGGGCACAGGTGGTGCATCAGCCACTTGTCTCAGTCGGTCGACCCGTGGCACCTGGGTCTGCCCCGTGACCTCCTGCCAGTGGGCGCTCGACACTTCACGTGGCCTCAAAGTGCACATGGCCTGGCACAAGCGTCGTGGTGACGTCACTACCACTTAATGGCGGTTGTTGTTGTGTGTCCAGCGTGCATTGATAGCATCCCCGTCTCTGCGTGTGTCTGCGCATCTCTGCATGTGTCTGTGCGTATCTGCGTGTGTCTGTGTGTGTCCAGCGTGTATTGATAGCATCCCCGTCTCTGCGTGTGTCTGCGCATCTCTGCGCATCTCTGCATGTGTCTGTGCGTATCTGCGTGTGTCTGTGTGTGTCCAGCGTGTATTGATAGCATCCCCGTCTCTGCGCATCTCTGCGTGTGCGTGCGCGCTTGCTCAGGATGCAACGCGACCGACTTCAAGTGCAACAACGGCAAGTGCGTGGCCAACACGCTCAAGTGCAACAACAAGGACGACTGCGGTGACAGCAGCGATGAGGCCTCCTGCCCGGGCTGTGAGTGCCGGAGGGAGCCGTAGACTCGGCACTGCACCATAGACTCAGCACTGCCCATAGACTCAACACTGCACCATACATTCAACACTGCACCATAGATTCAGCACTCCACCATAGACTCAGCACTGCCCATAGACTCAACACTGCATCGTAGACTCAGCACTGCACCGTAGATTCAACACTGCACCGTAGACTCAGCACTGCACCATAGACTCAACACTGCCCATAGACTCAACACTGCAGTAATGTAGCATACAGTAGTGTAGTGTACAGGTGTGTAGTGTTTCGTTTTGTAGGGTATAGTAGTGTCGTGTACAGGAGTGTAGTGTATAGGAGTGTCATGTATAGTAGTGTATAGTAGTGTGTAGTGAGTAGTAGTGTAGTGTATAGTGTAGTGTATAGTAGTGTCGTGTATAGTAGTGTCATATATAGTAGTGTATAGTAGTGTGTAGTGAGTAGTAGTGTAGTGTATAGTGTAGTGTATAGTAGTGTCGTGTACATGAGTGTAGTGGATAGGAGTGTCATGTATAGTAGTGTATAGTAGTGTGTAGTTGTGTAGTGTCTAGTGTAGTGTATAGGAGTGTCGTGTATAGTAGTGTCGTGTATAGTAGTGTAGTGTGTAGTGAGTAGTAGTGTATAGGAGTGTCGTGTATAGTAGTGTATAGTAGTGTAGAGTGTAGTGAGTAGTAGTGTAGTGTCTAGTGTAGTGTATAGGAGTGTAGTGTATAGTAGTGTAGTGGAGTGTATAGTGTAGTGTATAGTTGTGTAGTGTATTGTAGCGTAGTGTAATATAGCGTAGTGTCTAGTAGTGGAGTGTATAGTGTAGTGTATAGTAGCGTAGTGTTTAGTGTAGTGTATAGTACTGTATAGTAGCGTAGTGTAATGTAGCGTAGTGTAGTGTATAGTACTGTATAGTAGCGTAGTGTATAGTAGTGTAGTGTATAGTTGTGTTGTGTAGTGTAATGTAGCGTAGTTTCTTGTGGTGGAATTATAGTGTAGTGTATAGTACCTTGAGTGTGTAGTGTAGTGTATAGTAGTGTAGTGTATAGTAGTGTAGTGTATAGTGTAGTAGTGTATAGTGTAGTGTAGTGCCTCCGTAGAGCCCAATGTGTTCACTTATCGACCATTCGATAAGTGAACTGTCGTAGGCACAGTAAATATAAATTGATGCATTGATTAACCGTGTTTCTCTTAATATATCGTGTTTATGATGCGGTAAGTATATTTATCCGTTAATTTCCACTTTTTTAAATATGATGAAGTAAGTTTTTTGGGGCTGACAAAAAGGGAGGGGGGGTTACTTCCGATGTCCATACCTGCACTCGCCTAACGCCCCGCTCCGTCGAACCACAATCGCCGTCGTTGAGGGAAGGGCATTCTCCTGTGCCCCGCCACATCTGCAAGCAAAATATTCTACACGTGCCGGGCGGTCGGGTTGGGGGTGGGGGGGGGTGGGCGGAGCGGTGGCCTTCGAGGTTTCGTGGAACCGATCACCGTCATTAAGAGGAGGAGAGGAAGAGTCTCCTGCATTCAGTTGGCAGGAGGGGAAGACCGCTTTGGGTTTCTGTCCCCCCCCCCCCCCCACCACCGCCCCCCTCCCCTGCCCTTCCCCCCGAGGGCAGCCGGGACGCAGCAGTGCACGGCCTTCAACTACAAGTGCAATGATGGGAAGTGCCCCAGCAAGCTGAACCTGGAGTGTGACGGGGAGAAGGACTGCTCCGACGGAGGGGACGAAGCCAACTGCCGTGGGTCGCCCCACAACCCACAACCCACCACCACCACCACCACCCACGGGCTCGCGTAGAGACCCACAGACTTGCGTAGACACACACGGACCCACAGGCGCACACCGAGACCCACAGACTCGCGCAGACATGCGCAGAGACCCACAGACACGCGCAGACATGGACATACACGGACAGACAGACACGGACAGAGACGCACAGAGACCCACAGATATGCACAGACACGCACAGACGCGCAGAGACACGCACAGAGATCCACAGACACGCGCAGACACGCACAGACACGCAAAGACATGCACAGAGATCCACAGACACGCACAGAGATCCACAGACACTCACAGACACTCACAGACACGCACAGACACGCACAGAGACCTACAGACACGCACAGAGACACGCAGACACGCGCAGACACGCGCAGACACGCGCAGACACGCACAGACACGCACAGAGACACGCGCAGAGACACCCACAGACTCGCAACTCTCTCTCTCCCCACCTGCGTGCGCCTCCAGAGTGCGGCAACCGGCCGTACAAGCCGACGCGCATCGTGGGCGGCATGGACGCGGAGCTGGGCGAGTGGCCGTGGCAGGTGAGCCTCCACCTCAAGCGCCCCAACTCCGTGGCGGAGCACAGCTGCGGGGCCTCCCTCATCTCCAACCAGTGGCTCGTGTCGGCCGCCCACTGCTTCCAGGGAAGGTGAGCCAGGGAGAGCCGGTCGGGATTCACCCAAACCACCCACACTGCCACACTACCACACTACCACCTACCTGTCCCACCACCCACACAACCCCACCACCACACTGCCACACTACCACCCACCTGTCCCACCGACCCCACTATACCTACCCCACCACCACACTACCACACTACCACCCACCTGTCCCACCGACCCCACTATACCTACCCCACCACCACACTACCACACTACCACCCACCTGTCCCACCACCCACACAACCCCACCACCACACTGCCACACTAACACCCACCTGTCCCACCGACCCCACTATACCTACCCCACCACCACACTACCACACTACCACCCACCTGTCCCACCACCCACACAACCCCACCACCACACTACCAGAACTACCACCCACCAGCCACACCCACCCCACTATACCAACCCCACCACCACACTGCCACACTACCACCCACCTGTCACACCCCCCCCCCCCCCCCCCCCCCACTATACCTACCCCACCACTATACCCGCTCCACTACCACACTACCACCCACCTGTCCCACCACCCACACAACCCCACCACCACACTGCCACACTACCACCCACCTGTCCCACCCCCCCCCCACTATACCTACCCCACCACTATACACGCTCCACTATCACACTACCACCCACCTGCCACACCCCCCCCCACCTGCTATACCCCCACCACCACACTACCATACGCCCGTACACACGCACACACGCGCGCACACGCACACGCGCACACACGTACACACATGCACACACATACACACGCACACACACGCACACACATACACACACGCACACACATACACACACGCATACATGCACACACGTACACACACGCGCACACGCGCACACACACACACGCACACACATGCACACACATGCACACGCAAACACATACACGCGCACACGCGCACACACACACACGCACACACACGCACACACACGCACACACACGCACACATGCACACACACACACGCACACACACGCACACACACGCACGCACACATACACACGCAGTTGACCGCACGCACCTCGCCTCGTCCGTGTCCGTCGCGTCCACTCCATCTCTCACCCCCCCTCACCCCCGCCCCCCCCCCCCCCCCCCCCGACAGCAACTCGCGTCCCGAAAACTGGGTGGTGAAGCTGGGCCTGCACACGCAGAGCAGGCCGTCGGCGAGCACGGTGACGGCGTCGCTGCGCCGCGTCGTGGTGCACGAGAAGTACAACGACAACAACTACGACCACGACATCGCCGTGCTCGAGCTCGAGCAGCCAATCACCTTCAGCGACGTCGTGCGCCCAATCTGCCTGCCGGCCGCCACCCACGTCTTCCCCGTGGGGAAGGAGTGCTGGATCACCGGCTGGGGGGCCATCACGCAGGGCGGTGAGGCTGACACGCGCGGTGGGGGGGGGGTGGGGGAGGGTGGGTGGGGGGGGTGGGGGGGGGGTGGGTGGGGGAGGGGGGGGTGGAGGAGGGGGGGGTGGAGGAGGGTGGGTGGGGGAGGAGGGGGGGGTGGAGGAGGGTGGGAGCAGGGGGAGGGAGGGCAGGGGATGGTTGGGTGGGGGGGGAGGGGATGAGGCGCCCTTGGTGGAGGTGGGGGTTTGGGTGAGTGGGGGTGGGTAGGGGGGAGGGAGGGGGTGAAGGAGGGGGGGGTGGGGAAGGAGGGGGGGTGGAGGGTGGGTGGGGGAGAAGGGGGGGTGGAGGAGGTGGGAGCAGTGGGAGGGAGGGCGGGAGGAGGTATGGGGGAGGAGCGGCGGAGGGGGGGTTGAGGCGGGGGTGGCGGAGGATGTGGGAGGGGGGAGGAAGAGAGGGGAGAGGTTTAACCTGCAGGCTGGATTGTGTGAGGAGCTCATTAATCCCTGAAAGATCTGGACAAAGTCCCATCAGTGAGCTGCTCCCGCTGGGTCATGGAGCCTGCATGCCACCGCATGCCCAGCCACCGCATGCCCAGCCACCGCATACCCTAAAGAGCTTTTGTTCTGCCGAATAGAGAGGGCGACATGGGCGCGGCACGGGCTAGAGAAGAGATGGAGTGATGTGGTACAGGAGGACGTGGAGCTGAGTGGACTTGCCGATGACTGGTACCAGCGGTGTCAAGATCGGCCTCTATGGAGGAGGCTCGTGAAGGATGCTACTGGGCAGTTGGAGGCAGTCGCCCTCCAACAACAACGGAGGGCGGAGGAGCGACGCTCACAACAACGAGCGGAGCGACGGGCGGCTAAAACGCAGCGAGTTGACACAGTGGGGGGGGGGGTGGGGGGGGCACAGGTGGTGCATCGGCCACTCATCTCAGTCAGCCGACCCACGGCACCTGCCGGGTCTGTGCCGTGCCTTCCTGCCAGTAGCGGGCGCTTAACGCTTCACGCGGCACTTAGCCTGGCACGAGCGCCGTGGTGACGTCACCGCCACTTCGTGGCGGCTATCGGTGCCGGCACAGCGGTTGTTCCCCGCAGCTGCTCCAAGCCCCCTTCTCCCTCCCCTCCCTCCCTCCCTCGCCTCCCTCGCCTCCCTCCCTCCCTCCCCAGGCTCCGGCTCGAACGTGCTGCAGAAGGCCGAGGTGAAGCTCATCAACCAGACGGTGTGTAACGGGCTGCTGGACGGCAGCATCACGGCACGCATGCTGTGCGCCGGATTCCTCACGGGCGGCATCGACGCCTGCCAGGTGACCCCCTCCGCCGCACGCGGCCCCACCCAACCGCGGGGACGCAGGCAGACGCCCACCGCACCGGCACATAGGCACAGAGACTCACACATAGACTCGCACAGAGACTCGCGCAGAGACACGCAGAGACAAGCAAAGACTCACACAGAGAATCACAGAGACTCAGAGACTCACAGAGACTCACAGAGAGACTCGCACAGAGACTCCCATAGACTCACACAGAGACACATGGAGACTCGTACAGAGATACACAGAGACACACAGAGACACACAGAGACCCACATAGACCCGCATAGACTCGCATAGACCCGCATAGACTCACATAGACTCGCATAGACTCACACAGACAGTCTTCCATAGACTTACACAGAGACACACAGAGACCTCCATAGATTCGCACAGAGACACGCAAAGACTCGCACAGAAACTCCCATAGACTCACACAGACTCACACAGACAGTCTTCCATAGACTTAGACAGAGCCTCACAGAGAAACTCCCATAGACTCACACAGAAACTCCCTTAGACTCGCACAGACTCGCATAGACTCACACACAAACTCCCATAGACTCACACAGAAACTCCCATAGACTCACACAGAAACTCCCTTAGACTCACCCAGAAACTCCCATAGACTCACACAGACTCGCATACTCACACAGAAACTCCCTTAGACTCACCCAGAAACTCCCATAGACTCACACAGACTCACATAGAAACCCTTGTCGCCAAAAACTACGTCGTTCCTTTACCGTCATGGTTATCGTGGTTATGGTTGTTGTTGTGGTGGTCGCTGTTGTTATTGCTGTGGAAGGATGACTGCGTCTTAGCTGGAACCAAAGAGTTGACCAAAGTGGATAGTAAGAAAGATGTTGCCCCATAGAAGAAGACGACCTGATGATGACGATGCAGGCAGTGACGAGAAGTGATTTGGCACTATTTGGACACACACGTGGTAAGATGGATGACAGCAGGACAATTAAAAGTTGTTGTTGTTGTGGTTGTTGTTCGGTCAAAAATGGACCGAACCGGGTAGAGATGAAGACCAAACAGAGAATGTCTTTGACGACGTAAGAAGAGGTTGGTGCCGGAAAAAGATTTGGCCACCGCTAGAGAATATTATAAAAATATGTGGCCACCTCTAGAGCCGTATTTATAAAGAGACGTGGCCACCGCTGGAGCCGTATTTATAAAGAGACGTGGCCACCGCTGGAGCCGTATTTATAAAGAGACGTGGCCACCACTAGAGCCGTATTTATAAAGAGATGTGGCCACCACTGGAGCTGTATTTATAAAGAGACGTGGCCACCACTGGAGCCGTATTTATAAAGAGATGTGGCCACCACTGGAGCCGTATTTATAAAGAGACGTGGCCACCGCTGGAGCCGTATTTATAAAGAGACGTGGCCACCGCTGGAGCCGTATTTATAAAGAGACGTGGCCACTGCTAGAGCCGTATTTATAAAGAGACGTGGCCACCGCTAGAGCCGTATTTATGAGACGTGGCCACCACTGGAGCCGTATTTATAAAGAGATGTGGCCTCCACTTGAGCCGTATTTATTAAGAGACGTGGCCACCGCTGGAGCCGTATTTATAAAGAGACGTGGCCACTGCTGGAGCCGTATTTATAAAGAGACGTGGCCACCACTAGAGCCGTATTTATAAAGAGATGTGGCCACCACTGGAGCTGTATTTATAAAGAGACGTGGCCACCACTGGAGCCGTATTTATAAAGAGATGTGGCCACCACTGGAGCCGTATTTATAAAGAGACGTGGCCACCGCTGGAGCCGTATTTATAAAGAGACGTGGCCACCGCTGGAGCCGTATTTATAAAGAGACGTGGCCACTGCTAGAGCCGTATTTATAAAGAGACGTGGCCACCGCTAGAGCCGTATTTATGAGACGTGGCCACCACTGGAGCCGTATTTATAAAGAGATGTGGCCTCCACTTGAGCCGTATTTATTAAGAGACGTGGCCACCGCTGGAGCCGTATTTATAAAGAGACGTGGCCACTGCTGGAGCCGTATTTATAAAGAGACGTGGCCACCGCTGGAGCCGTATTTATAAAGAGATGTGGCCACCGCTGGAGCCGTATTTATAAAGAGACGTGGCCACCACTAGAGCCGTATTTATAAAGAGATGTGGCCACCACTGGAGCCGTATTTATAAAGAGACGTGGCCACCGTTGGAGCCGTATTTATAAAGAGACGTGGCCACCGCTGGAGCCGTATTTATAAAGAGACGTGGCCACTGCTAGAGCCGTATTTATAAAGAGACGTGGCCACCGCTAGAGCCGTATTTATGAGACGTGGCCACCACTGGAGCCGTATTTATAAAGAGATGTGGCCTCCACTTGAGCCGTATTTATTAAGAGACGTGGCCACCGCTGGAGCCGTATTTATAAAGAGACGTGGCCACCGCTAGAGCCGTATTTATGAGACGTGGCCACCACTGGAGCCGTATTTATAAAGAGATGTGGCCTCCACTTGAGCCGTATTTATTAAGAGACGTGGCCACCGCTGGAGCCGTATTTATAAAGAGACGTGGCCACCGCTAGAGCCGTATTTATAAAGAGACGTGGCCACCGCTGGAGCCGTATTTATAAAGAGACGTGGCCACCGCTGGAGCCGTATTTATAAAGAGACGTGGCCACCGCTGGAGTCGTATTTATAAAGAGACGTGGCCACCGCTGGAGCCGTATTTATAAAGAGACGTGGCCACCGCTGGAGCCGTATTTATAAAGAGACGTGGCCACCGCTGGAGCCGTATTTATAAAGAGACGTGGCCACCGCTGGAGCCGTATTTATAAAGAGACGTGGCCACCGCTGGAGTCGTATTTATAAAGAGACGTGGCCACCACTGGAGCCGTATTTATAAAGAGACGTGGCCACCGCTGGAGCCGTATTTATAAAGAGACGTGGCCACCGCTAGAGCCGTATTTATAAAGAGACGTGGCCACCGCTGGAGCCGTATTTATAAAGAGACGTGGCCACCGCTGGAGCCGTATTTATAAAGAGACATGGCCACCGCTAGAGCCGTATTTATAAAGAGACGTGGCCACTGCTGGAGCCGTATTTATAAAGAGACGTGGCCACCGCTGGAGCCGTATTTATAAAGAGACGTGGCCACCGCTAGAGCCGTATTTATAAACAGACGTGGCCACCGCTGGAGCCGTATTTATAAAGAGACGTGGCCACTGCTGGAGCCGTATTTATAAAGAGACGTGGCCACCGCTGGAGCCGTATTTATAAAGAGACGTGGCCACCGCTAGAGCCATATTTATAAAGAGACGTGGCCACCACTGGAGCCGTATTTATAAAGAGATGTGCCCACCACTGGAGCCGTATTTATAAAAAGTAATATTTAAAAAAAAAAAAAAAATTTAAACACGCTTTAATGAAATGTACCGTACTCGTAATGGCAGAACTCCACGACTCCAGGAAGTGGCCCCGAAACTTGCCACAACGTAAGGGGACCGTGGTGATTTACAGTCAACGTCAGTTGAGCGTGGACAATTAGACCCAAGCGGAAACATAACATATAAAAAATAATGTTTAATGATAGAATATAGCATTGTCATCAGTATGACATTAGTATCCCAAGTTTGCAGTCGATACCCCATTGGGAAGTGGGTTAAAATTGAGTTGCAAGATTTGAGGATGCGGCAACAACAACAACAACATACAGAGTGAGTTAAATAAAAGCGTGTAAAAAGATTTGGCGACCGCTAGGGAATGTTATAACAAGACGTGGCCACCACTAGAGCCGTATTGGCACGACAAGACAGAGAGAGAGGAAAGTGGAAAAAACGAATGACGTCATGTTGCAACGGGACCCACCTACTACCATCGGCTATCTGCCCCATGGGATCGTGATGATGATGATGATACACGACACTATACAGTGCACTATTATACACTGCACTATTATAAGCTGCACTATTATACACTACGCTATAGACTACATGACTATACACCACATTACTATACACTACATTACTATACACTACAATGCTATAGACTACACTATGCCCTACACTATACACTACACTACTATACACCACCGCTATACACTACACTACTGTATACTACTATACACTACACTACTATACAATCCACTACTCTACAATACACTACACAAAGCTCTGCACTACACTACTCTACAATACACTAAATTACACTATACACTAGGGTATACAATATACACTACTATACAATACACTACTATACACTGCAAATACATTTTACTATGCTATACACAACACTATACAATACACGACACTACTATACAATACACAACACTACAATACACTACTATACACTAAATTACACTATACACTATGGTATACAATATACACTACTTTACAATACACTACTATACAATACACTACTATACACTACCAATGCATTTTACTACGCTATACACTACACTATACAATACACGACACTACTATACAATACACAACACTGCTATACACTATTATACAATACCCTACTATACAATACACTACTATACACTACTACTACATTGCACTACGCTATACACTACTCTCTACAATACACGACACTACTATACAAGAATTTGGATATCTTTGTTTGCTCTCAATTATCTTAAGGCTTTTGCTTCACTAAATATTTGTTTTTAGCAATTTCCTGTTCTCAAAAAAATTGGCAACCTCGTGCCTAGTCATCTCAGCTTTATTATGGGGGAGATGTCTAACTGCTGATTCCACGTCAGCAATTATCTCAATGGCAAAGTATTGATCTTTAGACAGGACTGAAACCATATCACTGGATAATTGAACATTAGTCATGTTGATAACCGTTTTGTTTATAAAATGTTCATTTTTAATTCAGTTGTTTGTTAGTCTAGCAAATTTGTTAATTTGGGTAGTGTTAGTTTTGTTAAATACATTATCAGCTGATTGCTGTGTAATTGAAACGTCGTACTCAGATTGTAAATGTTGTGGCTTGGCTCTCCAACACACCGGTGTGCTGTACTAGTGACGAATTGGCCACATTCTGTTTACGTGACAACCCTTACTAGTTGGCCGTGTCAGGTGGTGGCGGGTTTTAACGACACATATATTTACGCGATCTAACCCAAAAACCTCTAAATGGATGATATTGGACGCGAAAGCCTACGTGTTAAACTGGCAGATTTTTGGTTATTCATATCCCCCCCCCCCCCCAAAGCGATTCGGCCCTCCAGCTGGCTGTATGTGAGAGGCGGTGATAAGCTGATTCTGTCGCGCATCGTTCCCTTAGTGCGTTCGTCTGCCTGTCTGTATGTTGAACTTCCTACGTACGTATGTATGTTGAACTTCTATTGTATGTATATATGTTGAGCTTGTGTATGTATGTTGAACCTCTTTTGTATGTATGTTGAATTTCTGTCGTATGTATGTTCAACGTCTTCTGTATATATTTTGAACTTCTTTCATGTGTATGTACGTTCAGCCTATGTATGTATAAATCTTGACTTAAAGCTTTCGTGACTGCAGGAATTCACATTCTTTGGGTCTTTCGGTAAAGCCACGTAGATAGAAATAATAATAAAAATAATAACAAAATCACGACGTTTGAATCGCAACAAAAGCAATCGTCATCAGGTGAAAAAAGAGGAGGAAAGCTGCTTCGGCATCCTGTTTATAAAGGTTTAGAGATGGGCGGGGCAGCTAATGTTAATGTATGAGATGTCTCCGACACGGGCAGTAGGTCTACACCAATCAGAGAGCTGTTTATAAAGGTTTAGAGATGGGTGGGGCAGCTAATTTTAATGTAGGAGAGGGCTCTGTAACCTGCAGTAGGTCTACACCAATCAGAGAGCTGTTTATAAAGGTTTAGAGATGGGCGGGGCAGCTAATGTTAATGTAGGTGAGGGCTTCGACACCGGCAGTAGGTCTACACCAATCAAAGAGCTGTTTATAAAGGTTTAGAGATGGGCGGGGCAGCTAATGTTAATGTAGGTGAGGGCTTCGACACCGGCAGTAAGTCTACACTAATCAGAGAGCTGTTTATAAAGGTTTAGAGATGGGCGGGGCAGCTAATGTTAATGTAGGAGAGGGCTCCGACACCGGCAGTAGGTCTACACCAATCAAGAGCTGTTTATAAAGGTTTGGAGATGGTCAGGGCAGCTAATGTTAATGTGGGAAAGGGCTCCGACACCGGCAGTAGGTCTACACCAATCAGAGAGCTGTTTATAAAGGTTTAGAGATGGGCGGGGCAGCTAATGTTAATGTGGGAGAGGGCTCCGACACTGGCAGTAGGTCTGCACCAATCAGAGAGCTGTTTATAAAGGTTTAGAGATGGGTGGGGCAGCTAATGAGGGCTTCGACACCAGCAGTAGGTCTACACCAATTAGCTGCCCCGCCCATCTCTAAACCTTTATAAACAGCTCTTTGATTGGTGTAGACCTACTGCCAGTGTCGGAGCTCTCTCCCACATGAACATTAGCTGCCCCGCCCATCTCTAAACCTTTATTAACAGCTCTCTGATTGGTGTAGACCTACTACCGGTGTCGGAGCCCTCTCCAACATTAACATTAGCTGCCCCGCCCATCTCTAAACCTTTATAAACAGCTCTCTGATTGGTGTAGACCTACTGCCAGTGTCGGAGCCCTCTCCTACATTAACATTAGCTGCCCCGCCCATTTCTAAACCTTTATAAACAGGCTGCCTCAGCAGCTTTCCTCTTTTTTTTTCACCTGATGACGATTGCTTGTGTTGCGATCGAAACGTCGTGATATTGTTATTATTTTTATATTTTTTTCTATCGACATGGCTTTACCGAAAGACCCAAAAGACTTTGTATGTATGTTCAACTTGTTTTGTATTGAACTTCTTTGGTATATATGTACGTTGAACTTCTTTCGCACCGTACGTAGCCAACCGTGATAATCGGAGGTTTGTAAGTGCTCACCCCGAGCTATAAATACCCTGATAGTGCATCGTCTTTGTGCTGTTCGTTTTTTGGCATTCTCTGGTCGAACACTGGGTGAGACTCGGCTCTAAAGAAGAAGGCTGCTATCTCTGCTCTCGACCAGTCAATTTCAAAGACATTGCATCATCATAGACTACCAGAGCATGTTTTTTTTTGTTTGCATGTTCACCACAAGTACCGTGTGTTGTGGTCAATGCAGTAACTTGATTCCTTGGCAAGAGGTTTCTGTTTGGTGTTTGAACATCTTCACACAACTCCCGTTTCATTGCCAGAAAGGGTTACATAAATTATTGTATAGTAGTGTACAGTGTAGTGTGTAGTAGTGTATTCTTGCGTGTATGTTGAACTTCTTTCGCACCGTACGTAGCCCACCGCGATTATCGGAGGTGCAGGGGGGAAGGATAAAAAACTAAGCACAAAAATCAATTTCAAAATAATTAGTTTTCTCTTTAGTATACTGGTGTAGCGTGTATAATATGCCAGTCCATCGCTCTCTATAATCAGTCTATGGATCTATGCCGGTCTGAGTCTCTTTGCCGGTATGTATCGTGCAGTGTATAGTAATGTACTGTATAGTAGTGCATCATATAGAAATGTGTATCGTAGTGTATAGTAGTGTAGTGTATAGTAATGTATTGTATATCAATGCATATCGTAGTGTATAGTAGTGTATCTTATATCAATGTATATAGTAGTGTATTGTATATCAATGTATATTGTAGTGTATAGTAGTGTAGTGTATATCAACGTATGTCGTAGCGTATGCTAGTGTAGCGTATAGCGGTACGTACGTTGGAACCCTCTGACGGCACCGTACGTGCGCAGCCCCGGCGCGCGCTGACCGTGACGGTTACCGTCTGTCCCCCGCCGGTCCCCAGGGCGACTCCGGCGGCCCCCTCACCTGCATGGAGAACAACGGCAAGTGGTTCCTGACAGGCGTGGTGAGCTGGGGCGAGGGCTGCGCCCAGCGCAACAAGCCGGGCGTCTACTCGCGCGTCACCGTCTTCCGCTCGTGGCTCAAGGAGAAGACCGGCATCTAAGCCGGGCCCGGCAAACTGAGGGAGGGGAGCGGCGGCTGGGGGGGACGCGTTCCCCCCCCGGCCATGCCGGTGTTGGCACGGCAATGCCACGTCAGTCTCCGCCTAGGGCCCTGCTGGGTTCTCGCTTGGCCCTACTGGGCCACGCTTGGCCCTGCTGGGCCACGCTTGGCCCTGCTGGGCCACGCTTGGCCCTGCTGGGCCACGCTTGGCCCTGCTGGGCCACGCTTGGCCCTGCTGGGCCACGCTTGGCCCTGCTGGGCCACGCTTGGCCCTGCTGGGTTCCCGCTTGGCCCTGCTGGGCCCTGCTTGTCCCTGCTGGGTTCCCGCTTGGCCCTGCTGGGCCACGCTTGGCCCTGCTGGGCCACGCTTGGCCCTGCTGGGTTCCCGCTTGGCCCTGCTGGGCCACGCTTGGTCCCGCTGGGCCCTGCTTGGCTCTACTGGTCCCTACTGGGCCCTGCTGGGCCCCGCTTGGCCCTACTGGGCCACGCTTGGCCCCGCTGGGCCCCGCTGGGCTCTACTGGTCCCGACTGGGCCCCGCTTTGCCCCGCTGCTGGGCCCCGCTGAGTGCCGCTTGGCCCCGCTGGGCCCCGCTGGGCGCTGCTGGGCGCCCAGCTGGGCCCTGCTTGTCCCCGTTTGGTGTAGACACAAACATGCGTAGACACACACATGTGTAGACACGCATGTGTAGACACACACATGCGTGTCTACACCGGGCCACACCGGGAACCCAATTAACACCCCCCCGCCCATCCCTCCCCCACCCCACCCCCTCATTGATTAGTGAAATTAACGCGTTTTGTTTTTGGGAATGTGATTCGATTCGAGAGTCGATGTTTTATTTGGGTCTAATTCTCTACCGTTCGGCCTGCGCGCGTTGTACAATTTTAGAGTTTAGTTCGCGTCCCCCTGCCCCCCCCCTCCGGCCCCCTCCCCCCCCCCCCCCCCCACTTTGTATCCGATAGCTTGTCGATGTGACCCGGTGGTCTCGTTGGCAAACTTTTTAATCTCGGTTGTTCGCTAAGCGCGGTCGCGATCCCACCCCACCTCCACCACCTCCACCAGTATCACCGCCACCTCCATCACCACCTCAACCACCACCTCCACCACCTCCACCATCACCACCTCAACCACCACCTCCACCACCTCCACCAGTATCACCGCCACTTCCATCACCACCTCAACCACCACCTCCACCACCTCCACCAGTATCACCGCCACCTCCATCACCACCTCAACCACCACCTCCACCAGTATCACCGCCACCTCCATCACCACCTCAACCACCACTTCCACCACCTCCACCAGTATCACCGCCACCTCCATCACCACCTCAACCACCACCTCCACCAGTATCACCGCCACCTCCATCACCACCTCAACCACCACCTCCACCAGTATCACCGCCACCTCCATCACCACCTCAACCACCACCTCCACCACCTCCACCAGTATCACCGCCACCTCCATCACCACCTCAACCACCACCTCCACTACCGCCACCTCTACCATCACCATCACCACCGCGTCCACCAGTACCACCTCCACCACCAGCATCTCCACCAGTGTCACTACCATCACCACCACCGGCAGCAGTGTGGAGCGGGTACGGTGGCGGGGTGGGGGTGTTGCCGGGTGTGTGGTGGATGCAATGTTCTGTGTCTGAACATCTGCATGGGTCTGCACATTTACCACGGTCGTCATCATCGTTCACGTTCATCGTCGTCGTCGTCAGCGGTTGTTGCTTGTTTGAATCTTGCCATATGGGTCCGCGCGCGCACACGTTGAGGTGGAGGAAAACGGCCACTGGCGTTATTTTCGCTGCTTTGTTGCGATGGCGTTTAAAGAAAATCGATTTCTCGCGTCGTCGTGCGAGAGAGCGAGAGAATTATCCCTCGCCCAAGCCGATCCGTGTGAATCTCGCGAAGCCTCCTGTTGCCTCTGCGCGTGGTTCATTTTATTTTTTCTTGGAGCAAGATGAACGCCCCCCCCCCCTTACCCACCACGTCCCCCGCCCCCCCCCCCATTTTGTTAAACGCGCTATTTTAGCCGCCGTGCAGTTTTAAGTCGCTCGCTGCCCCGATCCCAACCTTCCACCTTTAACGGTGAATCGATTTTTTTTTATTTTTGTTCTTGCCACGTGTATTTTTGTTTCAAAGGCTCGCGAATCCCCGTTGCAAGGAGGCGAAGGTCGGCCGGCAAAATTTTCGTTCGTCTTTTTTTTTTGCCATCGCCCAAGAGCTGCTGCAGCCGCCGCGACGAATTTGTAGGCCAGGGAATTAACATCTTGGCCAAATACAGGCGTCATCAGGGTCTGGGATCGAAACCCAACGACCTCCTGCATTGCCAGGCGAGGGAGTTAACATCTCGCCCAAATACAGGCGCCGTCAATCTCAGGATCGAACCCACGACCTCCTGCGTACCAGGCGAGGGAATTAACATCTCGGCAAATACAGGCAACGTCAGGATCGGGGATCGAACCCACGAACCTCCCACGTGCTAGGCGAGGGAGTTAACATCTCCTAGCCACCGGTGTGCGTGTGACAAGTCAAGCCTTTGGATTTAGCGTTGCCACCTTTTTTTTTGTTAACCCCCCCCTCCCCCGTAGAGACGAAAATCCAGACGCGCATCTCTCGAGCCCCTTAGGATCGAACTCCAACACCGAACAACGCCCGCCGTGCCGGTGCCAGAGACATCGGTCATTTTTTTTACGAGTCGATTTTCTTGCCCGCCACCAGTTGAACACTCCCCGCCCGGATCGCCAATTCTCTCGCCGGGTTCTGACAAAAGCCCAATTTAGCCCCCTTCGGCCCTGCATCTGCAGTTGTGGTGGTGGAGGGTGAGTGGCTTGGTGGGTGGGTGTAGAGAGAGAGAGAGAAAGCATTTCTGCCACTGAACTCTTCTCTCCCCCCCCCCACTTTCCTGCTTTTGGGAGCAGTTCGGGCAAATAGGGAGGGGGGGGGTGGTTGTATATAGAGAATTTCTGAACGCGTGGTCATTTTTTTTTATCTTGTCTTTGCTCAAGTACATTTTGTATTTTACACGAATAAAAGAAATAATATTTCCTACGTTGCCTTGTTTTGTAAACCCCTAGAAGGGGGGGGGGGGGGCGAGGGTGGGGGGGGGGGGCTCTTGTTTGGGACAGCCGGCCGGTGACTGATGGCGGACTGCAGGTTTGTAAGTGGGTTTTTTTGGAGGATTTTTGGCAAGGGACTCTCATCCAGCAGTGGATTCAGAATAGTAATATGTATTTAATACTGCAGGAGGAAATCCGATGAGCTACAGCGCTCGTTTCAAACAGATGTCCAGTTAAGGGGGGCACGGGGTAAGAACATTACAACAACACAATAACAAATCGCCCAACATATACAAAAAAAATAAACCATCCCCATCCTACTCTTTGGTTCTTTTCGGTAAAGTCACGTAGGTAAAAAATATTAAAGAAAAAATCACGACGTTTCAGCCATAACACAAGTGGCCTTCATCAGGTGAAGGGGACCGTACTGTCACGAGGACAGCGTGACAGTACGCTGTCCGGCCTGCAGTGTACATGGACTAGTGGCCACGGGAGGTAATGACAGGGGAGTTAGCCTGCAGAGCGAGTGGACTAGTGGCCACGGGAGGTAATGACAGGGGAGTTAGCCTGCAGAGCGAGTGGACTAGTGGCCACGGGAGGTAATGACAGGGGAGTTAGCCTGCAGAGCGAGTGGACTAGTGGCCACGTGAGGTAATGACAGGGGAGTCAGCCTGCAGAGCGAGTGGACTAGTGGCCACGAGGACAGCGTGACAGTACGGTCCCCTTCACCTGATGAAGGCCACTTGTGTTGTGGCCGAAACGTCGTGATTTTTTGTTTTAATTTTTTACCTACGTGACTTTACCGAATAGAACCAAAGAGTATGGATCCTTGCAGTCATGAAAGCTTCAAATCTAGAAGATCTCCATCCTACTAGGCAAAGCGCCACTGAGGGTTGACGGCAAGGGGGCTGCGTGTCGGTGGAGATGATTGATTGGCACAGACGTTGAGTCTCTCTGTTCCATCTCCTGCCGGCAGCGAGCCTTCGAAATTTAACGTGATAACCTCAAGGGTGCACTTAGCCTGGCACCGGCGCCGTGTTGACGTCACCACTGCTTAGTTGCGAACTTTGTGAAAGGGCCACGGCAGAATGATCCCCCCCCTGGGGGTTCGCGATCTTCCACGAAGCTGCTCGTGGTTCCCACCCCTAACACCGTATCCACTGCACAAACCGTGGCAGCAGCAGCGGCAGATGCTGATGATAGCTGATGATGCACACACGTGTACCGACATTCGAGTCAACCTAGGGTGTGAGTGGACTAGTGATCACGGGAGGTAATGACAGGGGAGTCGGCCTGCAGTGTGAATAGACTAGTGGCCACGGGAGATAATGACAGGGGAGTCAGCCTGCAGAACGGGTGGACTAGTGGCCACGGGAGGTAATGACAGGGGAGTCGGCTTGCAGTGTGAATGGACTAGTGGCCACGGAAGGTAATGACAAGGGAGTCGGCCTACAGTCTGAATGGATTAGTGGCCATGGGAGGTAATGACAGGGGAGTCGGCCTGCAGTGTGAATGGACTAGTGGTCATGGGAGGTAATGACAGGGGAGTCAGCTTGCAGAGCGAATGGACTAGTGGCCACGGGAGGTAATGACAGGGGAGTCGGCTTGCAGAGCGAATGGACTAGTGGCCATGGGAGGTAATGACAGGGGAGTCGGCTTGCAAAGCGAATGGACTAGTGGCCACGGGAGGGAATGACAGGGGAGTCGGCCTGCAGAGCGAATGGACTAGTGGCCACGGGAGGGAATGACAGGGGAGTCGGCTTGCAATAGGAATGGACTGGTGGCTGCGGGAATGATCGAGAATAGGAGCGTGGCCAGGTGACGGAAGAGGATGGTAGCGTCTGCTGGTAGAGCGAGCGTCGAGAACCAGCGAGAAGGTTCGGGAATGGGGGCGTGGCCTCTGACCGTATATCAGGGAGCTGCACGGGTACCTCGGGGCGGTTGCAGTGGGGGTCTCCGCCTGTTCGAGTGTGAGCACGTGGCTCTTTAATAAAAGAAACGATGTCAAGACAAGTGCGTTGAACTCGTCATGATACGTGTACAATAAACAATGCTCCAGTGGTAGTGATGCGACTGTGGTTATCCAGAGCCAGGCCGTAGTACAGCGTTTAGCGACGTAATACCACGATCCACGAATACGAAGGAGGAGACATCACAGCGATGATGATGATGATGCTACACCACTACTCCGCTACTGCTCCTGATGATGCTTGATCACGTGAATGTGACATTGTAGTCATCTCTGCAGCATCTACATCAGCCGTATGAAAGAAAGAAACTATGCCTATCACTACCCCAACCCCTATCACGACCCCAACCCCTATCACTACCCCAACTCCTATCACTACCCCAACCCCTATTACTACCCCAACCTCAATCACTACCCCAACCCCTATTACTACCCCAACCCCAATCACTACCCCAACCCCTATCACTACCCTAACCCCAATCACTACCCCAACCCCTATTACTACCCCAAACCCTATCATTACCCCAAACCCTATCACTACCCCAACCCCTATCGCTACCCTAACCCCAATCACTACCCCAACCCCTATCACAATCCCTATCACTACCCTAACCCCAATCACTACCCCTACCACTACTCCAACCCCTACCACTACCTAAATCCTTATCACTACCCCAACCCCTATTACTACCCAAACCCTATCACTACACCAACCCCTACCACTACCCCAACCCCTATCACAATCCCTATCACTACCCCAACCCCTAACACTACCCCAACCCCTACCACTACCCCAACCCCTATCACTACCCCAACCCCTATCACTACCCAATCACTACTCCAATCATTACCTAAACCTCTACCACTACCCAAATCACTACCCCTACCACTACCCCAATCACTACCACTACCCCAAACCCTATCACTACCCCAACCCCTACCACTACCCCAACCCCAATCACAACCCCTATCACTACCCCAACCCCTATCACTACCCCAACCCCTATCACTACCCCAATCACTACCTCAACCCCTATCACTACCCCGACTCCTACTACCACCCCTATCGCTACCCCTACCACTGTCACTACCCCAGAATGAACCAACGTGTAACGACGCAACGCTCCGGATCCACAAATCAAATCATCGGAGCGGTGACGCCGTTATCCTGGAGGTTAACCACGTGGAGATGCAGAGAGCAGTCTCCAGCATCGGCAGCAGCCAGTGCGAAAGCAAGAAGAAAAATGAGGGAGGAGGGAGGAGGGAAGGAAGGAGAAAGGAAGGAAGAAGGAAGGAGGAAAGATGGGAGGAGGAAAGAAGGAAGGAAGGAGGAAGATGGAAGGAAGGAGGAACATGGACCTGTAGGGCCTCCCACTGAGACAGCTGCCACCTTTCTACAGGAGCGTCCTGCAGACATGGAGCTCCCTCGCCGTCAGAAGGCTGAACCAGCCGCGATCGGACCAGGATTTGGTCTTCGAACCGATCCTCAGGAACCCACAGACAAAGCTGCCATCCACCACCACCGCCCCCGGCATGGAGAGGCGCCTCGCCAACGAGCGGCTCACCAGGACGGGAGATCTGGTGGAGCCTGAAACACGGGGCCGGTGGCTCGGACCAGCAGACATGGCTGCAAAGACAGGGGGGCTGCAGTCGCTCCGGGTGGCTGCCCGGATCCTGGCCGAAGCCAAAGGGGCCTTCTCAGCGGCAGCGGGGAGAACGCCCCCCATCGGCATTGGGGATGACGAGGCCCCTCTCGGTCCCCCTCCACCAGAGCTCTCAGTCGTGCCACTGCATCGCCAATGCCGACAAACTAAGGCGGATCACGACCTGTGCCGGCTGGAAGACCTGCCGGAGGTGGCCTTCGCAAACGTCAAGAGGAAGGTGCTCTACTCCTACATGGTCCGGTTGCACCAACAGGACACCCTGAGGAGCCACAAGGACCATGCCTGGAGGAAAGCCCTGCCCTGCGTCTCTCCGGAGAGGCCTCGCTGGAGGCAACTCCGCTCCAGCCCGACGTACAACCACATCGGCGACCTCAGCTGGAGCATCGCCCACGGCACCGTCACCACCAACGTCTCCCTGGCACGCTTCACCGACACGTCCCCAGAGTGCCGGTTCTGCGGTAAAGTGGAGACGGTGGCGCACCAATACGTGGAGTGCAAGAGCCTGGACTCGCTGTTCAAGGTCCTGAGAAACATCCTCCTAAGGTTCAGCCTCCACTTCTCCCCGACGGTCCTCATCTTTGGATACCCGAAGGGCGACGGACCCCAACATCTTCAGGGGCTGGTCAACGTGCTCTTCGGCTACGCCAAGCTCGCCGTATACAGGGCGAGGAAGGTGGCCCTGGAGGTGCAACGTCCAGCCAGCAGCCTGGGCATCTTCCGCGCTCTGGTCGGAGCCAGGGTGTGGTTGGAGTTCCGCCACGCGCGGCTGACCCACGCCGTGCCGGCCTTCAAGGAGCAGTGGGCGCTGGAGGAGGCCGTGTGCTCGGTGGCAGAAGACGGGGAGCTCTGCATGCAGATCTAAGCTACCCGTCGGAGGCTGTTTGACTGTGGGAAGGGCTGGGTGCAGATGCAGCACTTGTCGTAGTTATTTTTTTTTACAAATCTTTCATAGAAAACAGGGGGAACATAGACATAGAGTAGCGAGAGAGGGGGGGTAGAGAGAGAGAGGGGGGGTAGAGAGAGGGGGGGGGTAGAGAGAGGGGGAAGGGGTAAGAAGGAGGAGAGCAGAGCGTGACATCTTTCGTGTAATCTTTCATTTAAAAAGGCGGTGGGGGGGGGGTTTACATAAAACAAAGCATTGAAAAAACAAAAAAAACGAAATGATGAATGAAGCAAAGTGCCGACTACACCGAGCATCTTTTTTGTTTCCTCTGATCGTAAACAAAAAAGCAAGGAAGGA